TCCCTCACGCTCCTGTTCGGCGCCATCTTGGGAGGGCGGTGTTTCTCCTCGAGGCTCGGCCCGGCTCTAGCGCGGTAGCGGCCCCGCACCTACCGGGACCGGGACCGGGACCTGCGGGGCTGCCCCGGGGCTCACAGAGCTCGTGGCCGCCCCTCAGAGCGGTCAGGGCTTCCAAGACCCACTCACCATCCCACCCCTGGATGGGGGGGTCCCAAGCTCTGCAGCTTCCCAGGGCTCTTCCTCCGTGAGGAGCCTGATCCAGTCCCAGGCTTGGCCAGTGGTTTGTGTCTAAAGCAGTACAACTGAGCCTTTATGCGACTTTGTCCTTTAGAATTAAGGATGGTAACCCAAAATATTTATATAAATAAAAAATTTAATGATTGTAAGGATTACGCTAAAAAATCTTCAGAATCTACTGCACAGTGTAGGTAGCTCTAGCTACTAGAGCAGTGCAGTATTTTTGAAGTAATGTTCACACTGTGAAAAACGAGGTTCACATATTTTTTATAGAATTTAAAAGTTTAATAAAAAGAGAATTAGGATATAAAATAAAGTATACAGATACGGCCGGGTGTCTCTGCTTTCAGCCAAGAGAGCACACCTAGTAACAAAGGTGTTAAATTGTTCCTTAAAAACAGAACCTCACTACATACCCATAAATTCTCATACATATTCATATATTCTTCTTAGGCTTTTTGGTGTTCTTCTGTTTAGTTTTCTCTTGCCCCCTTCCCAATAGATCAATCTTCTTGACGCCATTGAGATTTACATTCCCTGATAACAGAAATGCAATAAATTCCTCCCCCAGAGCTCTGGTCACTGCTGTCTTCATCTGGGTAAGATAGTTTAACAAATGCAGGGGTGTCCCTAACGATCTTTTTTAGTCTTTGGGTTATACAAACAAAAACAGTTTTTATTTTAATACTACGCCATAGCTTAACATATATGTATTATACCACTGTTTCTAAGTTTCATCAATAACATAAATAAAGGAAACTATATTAATACAGCTAAATGTTCTGATCTTATACATATAACATTCATTATAATATTTGCGAAAAGCCAGTAATATGATACGCATTTATAACAATACTAAGTGATATCAAAGGTAGTAATTACTGAACAGGCATTGATGCTTTTCACCCATCTCAGTACCTGGAGCAAATCTCTAACTCAGCCTCGAGGAGACACTCTGATGGGCACTCCTCAGCTCCAGGGGGGAATTTCCACATAAACTCCCAGAAATAACAGAATAAGGAAAGAACAAAAATGACTTTGGAGTTCTTTTCCAGCCTAAACGATTTGTGATCATCCAATCTAACCATCAACGCAGCCCTGCCAGGGCAAAAAAACATTAAAAAGCGACCAGCTCCCAAGAGCCACACCCACATGTTTTTGAATACTTCCAGGGACGGAGCCTGTCGCAGTGCTTGGCCGGCCTTTCCGTGAAGAAATTTTCCTGAATCTCCATTCTCTGACACAACCTGGGGCTGTTCCACCTCTTTGTGTGAGCCCAAAGCCCCCCAGAGCTGTGCTGGGGACACGCTCCAGCTGACACAGCCACTGAAGCTGCCAGTGAAACCCGGACTGCCGCACTTCCAGCTTGGAAAACAGGCACTGCAGAACTGCAGGCAAGATTGGGGAACTGCGAAATGGGAAATGTTGCTTTCAGGTGCTTAGCACAATTTAATTAAAAGCCGTGGTGCTGGGGGTTATGTATGCGTTACTCTCGTGGGTGCTACGCCAGCATGGAGACAGCTCCATGAAGCCTTCTGGGCTGTCGGGCTGCTGCTCTCTGAATTAATTTAGATACATTCCCAGTGTATATTACACTGCTCCCACTGAGCACTGGGAAAAGGAAAGGAAACAGACTCGAGAGGCAGTGGCAGGTGCAGCCCGAAGAAGCAGCATTAATATTGTTATTAATATTAATAGCCAGCTTAAGTCCAACTATTGCTGAAGGCTGAGTGCTGAGCTGCTGTTTCCTTGCTTCAGCCACCTCAAACCAGACACTTTTCAAGCAGGATTTTTACTTCATAAAAGGTTAAAATCAAATAAAAAGAAATAAAACAAAGCAAAACAAAAAATAAAATAAAGTTATGTGAATGAGTGCAAGGGCCTTTCTTGGAATGTATTGACAACACTTGAAAAGTGCCACTTAGTGCAAGGCTGTCTTGGAAAATTTGGGTAATGGTAAAAAACATGTGAGGGCAGCAGAGCCCTGTGATCAGTCACTGCTCTCACCTCCAGAGAGGTGAAGCCATTGCCAGCCTCACCTGCTGCAGGACAGCATGGCAGAGGTTTATATTGGCTGCTGGGAAGAAGTTGTTCCCTGTGAGGGTGCTGAGGCTCAGGTTGCCCAGAGAAGCTGTGGGTGCCCCTGGATCCCTGGAAGTGTCCGAGGCCAGGTTGGACAGGGCTTGGAAGGTGTCCCTGCCTATGGTTGGGGGTGGGAATGAGATGAGTTTTAAGGTCCCTTTCAACCTAATAGATTCTGGGATTCCTCGAAGATCTGTTTTTCTAGGTCATGGAGGAAGCTGAGCACCTGCCCTCAGAGGGTCTGTGAGGGAGCTCAGCTCTCAGCCCCCCAAAGTTACAGACTAAGGCTCTGTGCTGTGTGGAGCAGTACAAAGGGGTCACTGCTGTGGTTCCTGGGATTTCAGGTGGGAAAACAGCTGGGATGTGAGGGAGCCCTGGTCCCAGCCCTGGCTGGAGGGAGGATGCAGCCATTCTGTGCCTTGCTCAGCAGGATCCTGGCTGTGAACCTCCCTCCCTGCTGCACCTGGGACCTGCTGGATTGTGGTGGCCCCTGGACCTGCTCAGCTCACCTTGCTGAGGTGTGGTGGCATTGCTGCTCCCCATGGATGAGGATGGGGCTGCCTCCAAGCTGGACAGTCATGAGTGTGAGTCAGACCTGCTGTGGGATGCTGTGATTAGCACTAAAACTGAGCTATATGTGCTGTTGGAGAGCTCAAGGGGAAACTGGTTATCCTGTGTTTGCCAGCTTAGCAGCGAGCTGCCACTTCTGAGGTTTGATTTTCCTGCCTCTGATCCAGCCCTGCCTCCGGTTCCTGCTGCCAGCAAAGGCTTTCACCTTGGCCCCGGCTGTGCCCTTGAGCAGTGATGGGAGCTGAGCCTTTGGCTGGCAGCACGGCTGCTGCTGGAACAAGGTTGTGCTGTCAGATTTCCTCTGGGCTTGTGCCTGTCTTTCAATCTATCCCCTTCTAATATGGCCTGAGCTTATCAGTACCTCCAGCCCAGCCTGGCTGCAGTGATGGGCGAGATAAGAAGCTTCAACATGAGAAGGGAGCAGGGCATCAAGGAGGACACAGGGCTGTGGGTTTGAAGGTGTGAGCCCTTGGGGGCTCAAAGCAGTGGCTTTGCTGCTCACACAGCTGCTGCTGGCTGTTCCCATGTTGCTGAGCTCAGCCCTGATGTATTCCCCTTGCATCTTAGCAGGTGCCCACAGCATTTGTGCTGTGCCCTTGGGAACGCTGCTCAGGGATCAGGACCCACATCCTGCCCACACCCCAGGGCCACACCCCCACTCTGCTCCCTGCACTCACGGTGTCTCCTACCAGGTCCCTCACCTGCTGTCTTCCCTCTCCAGTTAGCCCAGCACTGGCAATTGGCACATCCTGGAGGCCTCAGCAAAGATTCCTGATAGCTCTGCAAACCAGCTGCCTCCTTACAGTGGCCTTTGCTGTCCCAACCCTCCCTTCCCAGCCCTTTCATCTGCTGTTTTTGCACAGATGCAGTACCCAGAGATTAGGCTGCAGATTAAGGTTTTACTGCATCCTGAAATGGGTTCCAATTCCCAGTCCCAGCAGGACCAACATGCAGCCAAATGTCTCCTGAAAGCTCACTGGGCTGGAGCTGGGGAGAGATCTCCCTCCATGTTCTCCCACATGCATGAAAGGTGCAGTCCTACATATATAGCCCAAGTGAGCCACCTGGAATTCTGTGTCCAGTTCTGGGCCCCTCAAGAAAGACATTGAGGGGCTGGAGCATGTCCAGAGAAGGGAATGGAGGTGGGGAAAGGTCTGGAGCACAAGATGAGGAGCAGCTGAGGTAGGGCTCAGCCTGTAGAAATGGAGGCTCAGGTGGCACCATCACCCTCTTCACAACTCCTTAAGTGAGCCCCAGGTGGGGCTCTGCTGCCAGAGAACAAGACAGCACCAGAGGAAAAGGCCTCAAACTGCCCCAGGGGAGGGTCAGTCTGGACATCAGGAAGAATTTATTCACTGACACCGTTGTCAGGCGTTGGAATGGGCTGTGCAGGACATTCACTGTCCCCTGGAAATATTAAACACAGGGATGTGACACCTGGAAACATGGGTTAGTGATGGCCTTGGCAGCTGGTTGGACTCAATGATCTTAGAGGGTTTTTCCAGCCTCAGTGATTCTGTGGTTCTATGATTGATTCTAAAAGGAGCTGGGCAGCCAAGGGCAGGAGCAAGGCTGTTGTCTCAGCTCCAGCCTGCACCTGCCCAGCATCTCCCCATCCTGGCTGAGCCTGCTCTGCCCCCAACACTTTTGTTCAGGCTGGAGGCTCCCCTGGAAGTCCTGAACATGATCCCTGTGCCTGCAGAAGCTGCCCCAAGATTCTGGCCACATGGGCTGGGTGTGTTTGTCCCAGGACACACAGGCACACTTGTGGCTGGCATTTCCAAAGCCCCATCCAACACCACAGCGTATCACAGAATCATGGAATGTCCTGGGTTGGAAGGGACCCACAAGGATCATCCAGTCCAACTCCTGGCCCTGCAAAGACACCCCAGCAATCCCACCCTGTCCCTGACAGCATCATCCAAGTGCTCCTGGAGCTCTGACGGCCTTAGAGCCATGACCATTCCCTGGGGGAGCCTCTTCAGTGCCCAACCACCCTCTGAGGGAAAAACATTTTCCTATCCCACTTGGCAGACTGCACATTGTACCCAAAATTTAGGATACTGCAACTTGTCCCAGAGAGGAAAGTGCTTTATACGACACAAATGAAAGCTGATAAAAAAAAATACACCCACAGAAGAACACATGAGCTGCACATAACAAAGAAAATGGGAAGCATGTCACAGGGCTGTGGGCTGAGTCAGCTGCTCCAGTAACCGTGGTGCACAGGAGGTTTGGGTGGGAGCTGGGGGTTGCAGCCATGGCTAGCACATGCTCCAAGAGGAAGGGGTTTGGGGAAAGGTGACCTGAGCCCCACGGGGCGGTGAGGGGCTGTGTGTCAGAAGCCGTCAGTGCGCAGTGGCTGTGGCAGGTCTGACACGCTGATCTGCAGGTTGAGCTCTGCTGAGTCCAGGGCTGTGGATGGGGTGTGTGGGTGGCTCCCCTCAAGCACGGCAATCTCCTCGTGGTGCTCCTGCTGCAAGTGCCACACGATCTCTCTGGACAAAAAGTGTCTCTCTGCTTCTTCTGGCTCTGGAACAGAAGAATGACAAAACCTTCCTTTGCTGGTTGTCCTGAGGCAGAGCTCTGGGCAGGGAGCAAATACCCCAAAATATGCAGAATTTTCTGCACTGTCAAAATACAGCTTTTACTTCCCATTTTCAGCCTGGCAGAGGGAAAAAATTCAAACACGAAGTGTGGGGAGGAGTGTAAAATTACAGGCATTATGTGCTGGATTCCCAGTAGTGCTTGTGATGGGAACTGCCTCACTGGATGGAAATGCTTCTCCTCATCAGGGAGAGTGCTGAGTTTCCTCTGAAAAAACCGACATTCATTACAGCAAGATGCTGATTTCATCTGGTGGAGGTGAGGAGACGGGAGATGAAAAGATGATGGGAATGAGGGAAAACCTTGCTCCCTCCCATCCCGTCAGCAGGAATGGCACTGAGCCAGCACACACTCATCCCACTGCTGGGGAGGGTTTTATAGCCCCAGCAGCTTCTTCCAGGAACATCAACAGCGAGGGGAGCTGCTGCTTCCCCTGGATGCCTGCTGTTGTACTTAATCCTTGCAGTAGACAGCTTGTCTCAGGTTCACTTGGGGACTTCAGCTGGGATAACCAGTGCTGCCACCACCTTCCCTGCTCCTCAGACCCACAGCAAGAAGTCCTTAGAATTATGGAATCATGGAATACCCTGAGTTGGAAGAGATCCACAAGGATCACCCAGTCCAGCTCCTGGCCCTGCACAGACACCATGTCCCAGAGGGTTGTTCAAACACTCCTGGAGCTCTGGCAGCCCTGGGGCTGGGACCATTCCCAGGGGAGCCTGTTCAGTGCCTGACCACCCTCTGGGGGAAGAACCTTTTCCTGATATCCAACCTAAATCCCCCTGGCACAGCTCCAGCCATTCCCTTGAATCCTGTCACTGGTCCCAGGGAGCAGAGATTGGAGCTGACCCTCAGGAGGAGCTGCAGTCCCTGGTGAGGTCTGACTTCAGTTTCCTCTGCTCCAGCTGGACAGGCCAAGTGCCCTCAGCTGCTCCTTGTGTGGCCCCTCTGGGCCCTTCACCATCCCCATGTCCTTCCATGGACACTTCCTAACAGCTTTAGATCTTTCTCATATTGTGGTGCCCAGAACTGCCCCAGGGCTCTAGGTGAGGCCACCCCAGCCCAGAGCACAGTGGGACAATGCCCTCCCTCAGCCAGGCAGTGGTGCCATGCTCAGTGACATTCTTGTTTCGTGTGGGAATGCAGTCCCTCCCTTCCTCCCATGGCAGCGCCCCTGCACAGACACTGATCCAAGATCACATGGGGCTAGAAGAGCACAGCCACTGTCCTGGGCACCCCAACTCCTTTCCCCTCGCTCACCCTCGTAGGCAATGAGCTGGTAGGCATCTGCACACTCCTTGGAGCCTTTCAGGATCTCCTCCAAGGTCCTGTAGAAAAGCTTGGCCTGCTCCAGGCGCTCCTCCCGGCTGAAGGCAGCACACTCATCCTGGGACATGGCGTAGAGGGACTGCAGTGGGGTGGCATATTCCACAGCACAGTGCCAGGGCTGCAGGGATGGAAGGAGAAGATGTGGGGACAGGAGGACTGGGGAAAGGGCTACTGGGAGACCCTGGCACTGGGCAGAACAGTCTGGACCTCTCAGCAGCTCCTTGGCCTGCCTTGCACTGGGAGCACTGGGACAGAGCTGGCCCCAGTGTCCCCCTGCCTCTTGCAGAGCAGGGAAAGAGCAGCTGGCCTGACAGGTCCAGGTGTCCCCTCTGCCAGGTGGGCTCAGGGAGCTGCCTTTGGCCATGGGGGGCAGCCACTGGCTTTGTCAGTGCTCCCAAGAGCAGCCTGGAGGGTGATCTTCCTTATGGAATTCAGTTCCCTAGGGAGACATCCTTTTTCTGTGATCGCACCTTCTTGGTGGTCTTCTGCTATACAAAGGAAAGTGGAGGGACAGCACCAATCTTTGCTCTCTATGACCAGTGACAGGACCCAGGGAATGGCTGGAGCTGTGTCAGGGGGATTTAAGTGGGATATCAGGGAAAGGTTCTTCCCCCAGAGGGTGGTCAGGCACTGCCCAGGCTCCCCAGGGAATGGTCCCAGACCCAAGGCTGCCAGAGCTCCAGGAGTGTTTGGACAATGCTCTCAGGCACAGGGTGGGACTGTTGGGGTGTCTGTGCAGAACCAGGCATTGGACTTGATAATCTTCGTGGGTCCCTCCCAACCCAGCGTATTTTGTGATTCCATTATTCTGTCTAAGCATCCTAACAGAGAGCTGGAGGGCAGAGCATAAACATTGGAAAGGTGGAGGCACAGCTGGAAGGAGGCTGAGCAAAGAAACAAGGAGAAATCTCATAAAGCCATGAACATGCCAAGGAGGAGCAGTGTTATTAATAAGTCTTACACTGGAACTGGAAAGTTTAATGGAGTGAATTAGAAGGAAGAGGGATGTGATCCCAGGTAAAAGCAGAGAAGCAGGAAGTTCCCAGCCTTGGCAGGCAGATGCTGCTGTGCCCTGGGGCAGGTGCATTGATGGGCCCTGCCTCATTGTGAGGGACTGGGCAAGAAGCTGAGGGACAAATATTACTGGAAGGCCAGGTCCAGGCTCGGAGCTGCTGAAGCTCCCAGGGAGCAGAGTGACTCAGCAGGAGCCTGGCACATGGAACACAGCATCAGTGCAGTGGGAAAAACCCGCGGTGCTTCCTCCGGAGCAGGGCCAGGAGAGGCTCGGGGTCCCTGCAGGCAGGGCTTTAAAACTGCAGCCCAGAGCTCAGCCCTGCCAAAGGGCAAAGCAGGGGACCCAGGTGAGGAGCCCAGAGCTCTGCCAGTGTCTCCATCCATGGCACCAAAGGGTGTTCCCTCCTCCAAGGGGAAGGGACAGGGCCAGTCTGCCGGGAGATGTGGGAGGAGATGAATGCAAGGTGAGATGGAGAGATTTAGGGCTCAGCAGCCTAGAAAAGGGGTGACTGGGGAAAGGAGGGAGTCAATGATTCACAGACATCTTCAAGCACCTCTCCACAACACAAGGAAGCATTCATCCTATGGGAAATGATGCTCTGTAGCTCACATCTGCTTTTTTCTGCTCAGTTTTCTACTGTTTGCTGGACTTAAATCAGCTCCAGGAGGGTTTAAGCAAGCCCACCATCCCTGCAGCTGAGCCTGGGAGGAAGGGGTACAGGAATGGGATTTCTCCATCCCATGGAAGCCTGGAGAAAGCTGGGAGTATCTAATAGGAGAGGTGACAGTCTCCTGTCCTTACGGCCACTTCTGGGGACAGCAGGACTTTTGGGATGTTGCTCCCAATGCTGCTCTCAGCATACCTGTTGTTCTTCATCCTTGATTGCATAGAGGCTGTGTTTGTAGACCCTCTTTTTGGTGCCAGCTCGGGCCAGGGTGGTTTCAGTGAGGTCTGTCACATACTGGATGTTGCTGTCAGCTTTCTCCAGGTCATCATAGACAGCACAGTTCAGAGGGACCAAGATGTGGAGCTTCCAGGTCTTCCTGCACGCCAGCAGGTTGGGATTGGCTCTGCTGAATTCCTCCATGGACTTTTTAAACCCTGGTGGAAGACAGCATCAGGCAGAGGTGCCTGGTGTGAGTACAGCTGCATTCTGCCTTGCTCCCCATTTCCCTGCTAACACTGTAAAAGTGGGAGGATTGTTATTAGGAGCTATTTCTATCTGTAGGCATGAGAATGCAGGGAAACAGCTACGTACGTGGCAGGACTATTTTTAGGTACCCAACATAATAGGACCAGGCAAGCCCATGAGCAACGTTCTGCTTGGACCTCTCGGACATCTCAGATATCTCCACTGCTGAGGGCTTCTGTGGAGGGAAGGACAGACAGACCAGGTAATCACAGCAGCCTTTCTGCAACAGTCAGCTCTCCACATGGATTGGAGAACTCCAAAAAGATCTGGAGAGTGAGCAAACCCACCAGCCCTTTCCTCCACCATGCAGGGCAGCGGGGCAGAGCCCCTGACAGCCCCCACAGAGGAGGGAACTGGGGCTGGAGTGAGCCAGGCATTTCCCTGGCTGCACCTTCCACCGGGATCGTGTGTCCCAGTGCAACTTGTGCATCTGCCCTGTGCTCCCAGCATGGGAGAGGAGACAGCCCAGGGCTGGATGGGGGGATTCCCAATGGCCTCTGCCAGCTCCGTGTGTGCCATTAGCTGGAGATGGGTGTTCTGTCCCACAGGCACATGATGGAAGCGCCTTCTGCAGCCTGTGTGACCCTTCCAGAGGGCACAGCAGAGCCCTCCCCGTTCTCCAGAGGCACCTGGGGCTTGCCTCTGCCCCCACACCACACTGATAGTTGAGAACACACAGGCTCTGCTTTCCCCTCAAGCTCCAGCTTGACTGACATTTAAAATACCCCTGTTTTTCATGTCAGGGGGGCCATGCCATCTCCTGGAGTGGTTGTGCTCATTAGGAGGCAGCCTGGCCCTCCTGCCAACACTCCTGGCAGCACAGGGCCAGGGAGATCAGCTCTGCAGGGCTGAGCTGAGAGTGTTCCCCCGCCAGGCTGACTCTGGGTGGGCTGGACATGCAGGGGCCATGCAGATCTGGCTGCGTGCCCCCATGGCTGCTCAGGGCTGAAGGGCTCCCCGGGCAGCCAGCCAGGCTGGAGGTGTGGGAACCTTACCTGGAGCCCCAGGGCAAGGATGAGGAGCTGGCACAGGCTGGCCAGGATGAGGTGGAGGCCAAGTGGCTGTCCATCACTGAGAGCCATGTAGGCTGAGGCACAGACGAGCAGCAGGGGCCCATGCCAGCAGGGGGGGAAGCAGGTGCTCAGGGCCCTCCAGAAGCTGCTGTGGTGCCTGGGTGGGACAGGGAGACAGGAGTCAGGCTGGTGGCCACCCACTCACCCTCAGCAGCCGTGGCCAGGGATGCTCCCATCTGCTGGCCAGTGCCACCAATCTTCCACTACAGAGCCATGTGGGATCCTGCCCAGCTCACCCCAGCGTTCCCAGCCAGGAGAGGGCTTGGGTCCCTTGCAGCACCTGTGGGACTCAGAGGGAGCAGATGGAATGTCACCCTGGACAGCAAACGGAGACAACAGCCCCCTGTCCTCCAGCACTGGGCGGTGGGGAAAGGCTGGGGGCCAAGATCTGTTCCCTGGGGAAAGGTTGGGGGCCAAGATCTGTTCCCTGGGGAAAGGCTGGGGGCCAAGATCAGTTTCCTGGGGAAAGGTTGGGGCCAAGATCTGTTCCCTGGGGAAAGGGCACACTAAGGGGTTACCACGGAGAGGAACCATCCATGTATGGGATATGGGGGAGCTGGGCAGGTGGGAGAGGGAGCAATAGATGAAAGGGACAGGAGGGTGACAGTGGGCACAGCACATCATTGCCACAGAAGGCACTTGTGGGCACAGAGACCAGGAGCAAACCCCACCGCATCCCGAGGGTGCAACGCCCTTGTCCCCAGGGCGGTGGCAGGAGCGCCGCAGGCAGCCAGCCCCGCTGGCTCACCTGGACTCCAGGTGGAAGATCTCCTCGGCCAGGTAGCAGGTGCCCTTGAGCAGCGCCCCGATCTGCAGGGTGGCGAAGTGGAAGGCGAGGCTGCGGGCGGTGGGCACGAGGGGCTGCCCGGCGAGGAGCAGAGCCCCGGCGCAGAGCGCCAGCAGCAGGAGCACGGCGAGCCGCGCCCGCCCGGCCCGGGGCTGCGGGATCCGCGGGCAGCAGCGCTGCCTCGGCCGCCACGGCTCCCGGGACATCTGCGGAGGTCAGGGGCTCACAGCAGCTCGTCCCCAGCGGCAGCTTGTCCCCAGCACCCACGGCAGCGCTGTAGGAGCGGGTAAGAGCTGGTCAGGGGATGCGTGCGCCCAGCGCTCACTGAGCACCCCAAAGCACACAGCCCTTTGGGGAGGCTCCCCTGCGCTCCCCGCCCCGGGGCTGTGCCCTGGGCCCAAATGGGCTCGGCAAGACAGAGCCAGGCTGCTTACCCCGCTCCCGAACGGGTGCCAGCCCGCCCTGCTCCGTAGCCACGGGGCTCTCGCTGCTCTGGCCGCACTCACCGGGGCAGTTTCCAGCCGCCAACCCCGGGCTTCCTGCGCTGGGGTTCCCGGGCTCGGCGCTCCCGCCCGGGCAGCCGGGGCTCCTTGCAGGGACAGCCGGGGCTCCTTGCAGGGACAGCCGGGGCTCCTTGCAGGGACAGCAGGGGCTCCTTGCAGGGACAGCCGGGGCTCCTTGCAGGGACAGCAGGGGCTCCTTGCAAGGGCAGCTGCACCCGAAGTCTCTGCGACGCACGGAGCCACGGGTGGAGCTGCACAGAAAAGCGCGCAGAAAAGTGAAAATGAAAGAAGCTCTGGAAGCAGCCCGTGGAGCGCCAGAGCTCTCCCACACTGAGCATCCATGAGGTCTCTCAGCCCACAGGAAATCCAGGCACTGGTGGCTGCACCGGGTTTCGATATCCACGAGCTTGCATATCCTGGAAAGCCCCAAATTTGCCAAAACATGGTCTGAGTGGAACTGGAATGAGGAAGGAAACCAGATTTTATTGAGATTTAATTCGTCAAGGGCAGTAGATTTCAAAGAATGAAATGATTCAGCTCAGCAGATTGCCAGGGGCAAAACGGACTCAAGTTCCATCTAGAACTTGAGAAGGTGACTCACAGTGCCCTGGATGCTCCCACCCCACACGCTTCCAGGAGATGCTGGGTCGGGAAGCAGTGCCCATGAGTGCTGGCAGCACAGCAGGGGCTTCCTGCAGCCAGGCTCTTGGTGGCCAGTGAGACCCTCAAGACCTCCAGCTTGTTCCAAGGAATGTTTCCATCCTGGAGGAACATGGATTAGGGAACACATACACAAAACCCATTGGAGCATGTGGGATGCACTCAAGGAAGCTGAGGGAGATGGATGATGCCCTGGCAAGGTTCATTTCTGATCTCTTTGGAATGTTGTAGCAATCAGGAGGTTCCTGATGAGTGGGAGAAGAAAATCTCACACCCAGCTTTGAGGAGGTGAACTACAGCCTGTTCAGTGTCACCTCTGACACTGGGAAAGTGATGGAGCAAATCTTCCCAGCAATCCCTGCCAAACACTTGAAGGATGAGACAGGAACAGCCATCAGGGATTTCACATCACATCGGATGGACCTGACTACCTGGAATGGCAAGAAAAGTGGCTGTAGGGATGAGGGGAGAACCTCCACTTCAACAAAGCTCTCAGTGTGGTTACCTGTGGCCTCTGTGGAGCCAAACCAGGTTGATACAGGCTGGGAAATGGAGCAACTGTCCAGAACACAGACAACATTGCTTTCTGTCCAGGAATGCCCCTGGGTTCCAGGAGACCCTGACAGTCCCCACAGACCCACATTGCCAGGGTCTCTGGAGGCTGTCACAGGATTACAGCACAAGGATCTTGATTCAGACATGCCCACATGGTTCACATTTAATTAACATCATAGAATTAAAGAATCATTTAGGTTGGAAAAGACCCTTGAGACCATCAAGTTCAACTATTTCCCCAGAACTGCCAAGTCCACCACTAACCCATGTCCCCAAGTGCACATGTCTTTTAAATCACTCCAGGGAAGGAGACTCCACCCCTGCCCTGGGCAGCCTGGGCCAGTGCTTGACAGCCCTTTTGGGTGAAGAAATTTTCCCTAATACCCAGCATAAAGCTCCTCTAGTAGTGCTGGCTTGAGGCCATTTCTCTTTGTCCTGTCCCTTGTTCCCTGGGAGCAAAGCCCACCGCCCACCTGGCTGCACCCTCCTGTCAGGGAGCTGTGGGAAGAGAAGGTCCCCTTGAGTCTCCTTTCCTTCAGGCTGAGCCCCCCAAGCTCCCTCAGCTGCTCCTCATCAGACCTGTGCTCTGCTGCCCTTCTGTGGACACAACTCAAGCATCCTCAAACCCAGAGAGTGGGAGGAAGGGCCTGGCAGGGAGCTGCTTGTTTGAGTGGTAGAAACCCCAGCAAACCATCTGGCCGGCGTTCCCAGCCCCGGGAGGGCCTGTGGATACAGCCAACATGTTGTTTTCTTTGTCAGCACAAAGGCTGGCTAAAACATCGAGTGAATCACTTCCTCCTCCAGCACTTGTCCCATTCCAGCCAGGCTTCACTGACCTGCTCTGGTTGGCTCCTCAGGGTGGTGGATGGGCTGCCTGGCTGCCCAGCCACCTTCTTGCAGGTCCCCAAGCAGCTGGTGACTCTCCTGCCCACAGAGCCTGACCTGGCTTTTGGTTCTACCCTCAGAATATACTGCCAACACCTGCAGTATTTCTGTCTCACTTCTGTTCAGAGCAGAGCTGTAGTACCAGTCCAAGAGGTGAGTCTAAACCCCAGGAGGTTTCAGAGAATTTTGGAACCATGGGATGGTTAGGGTGGAAAGGGACCTTAAAGTTAATCTCGTTCTCAACACCTGCCATGGGCAGGGACAACTTTCCCAGTCCCAGGTTGCTCCAAGCCCTGTCCAGCCTGGCCTTGGACACTTCCAGGGATCCAGGGGCAGCCACAGCTTCTCTGGGCAGCCTGTGCCAGGGCCTCCCCACCCTCACAGGGAAGAATTTCTTCCCAATATCCCATCTAACACTGATCTCTGGCAGTCATTTCCCCTTGTCCTGTCACTCCAGGCCCTTGTCCAATGTCTCCTCTTGGAGCCCCTTTAGGCACTGGCAGGGGCTCTAAGGTCTCCCTGGAGTCTTCTCCAGGCTAAGCACCCCCAGCTCTCCCAGCCTGGCTCCAGAGAAGAGGGGGTCCAGCACTCAAAACATCTCTGTGACCTCCTGTGGATGTCTGCAACATCTGAGCTTGCCTGGGAACAGAGAGCCCAGTGCTGCCCAGAGCCACCCACTGCCTCAGCACAGCCAACAAGAAGTGGCAGGATTGAAACTGTCCCCATTGTCCCCCCTGGCCTTCCTCTGGCCAACAATTTGCTTTTCCAGATCATGTCTTGTCTCTGTTTGCTGTTATTCCCTCAAGCAGAAGGAACAAGAAGTCACACATGATGCTGGAAGATTTTAGATGCATAAAAAGCCCCAGCAAGGCACCTCTGTGGATCAGCACCATGGCACTGACACCTGTGTGAGGATGAGCTGTGCACAGAAATCAGCTCTGTCTGCAGTAACCTACAAACTCTGCAGCCCTTGCTAAGATCAGGACAACCAAGGAGTCATGGAATATTCTGGGTTTGAAGTGACCCACAAGGATCACCCAGTCCAACTCCTGTCCCTGCACAGACACCCCAACAATCCCACCCTGTGCCTGAGAGTGATCTGGAAACACTCCTGGAGCTCTGGCAGCCCTGGGGCTGGGACCATTCCCAGGGGAGCCTGTTCAGTGCCTGACCACCCTCTGGGGGAAGAACCTTTTCCTGATATCCAACCTAAATCCCCCTGGCACAGCTCCAGCCATTCCCTTGAATCCTGTCACTGGTCCCAGGGAGCAGAGATTGGAGCTGACCCTCAGGAGGAGCTGCAGTCCCTGGTGAGGTCTGACTTCAGTTTCCTCTGCTCCAGCTGGACAGGCCAAGTGCCCTCAGCTGCTCCTTGTGTGGCCCCTCTGGGCCCTTCACCATCCTCATGTCCCTCCTTTGGATGCTCTCAAACAGCTTTAGATCTTTCTCATACTATGGTGCACAGACCTGCCCCCAGATAGAGGCTGGATACATGTGGCATGTCCCCAGCCAAAAGTCTGACCAGGAACAGGGTGTTTTCCCTGGCATCCCCTGGGTGAAGGGCTGTGAGCAGACAGCAGCAGCATGACAGAGCTGGCTCTGCTGCAGGATGGGCACGGCAGCAGCACTTCCTTCCTTTAATTCCTTTCTTTTCTATTCCCTGTGAAAGCAGGTAGAGCTGCTGGCTTCATGCAGAGGGCAGGCTGCCCAGTGACAGCTTTCACTAGGGATACCTTCAGGGATGGGGCTCCAGTGCCAGGCTGGTGTCAAAAGTGGCTTTGGTCCCTTGACTGAAAGTGCTGCAGTCGGTGTTTTTAGTGCTGCAGTTGCACCAGCCGTGTCCCTCAGAGGTCCCGTGTGACAGGGCTGCTTTATTGCCACAAAATAGCAAAAATAAAGTGCTCTGCAATATTCTGTGTGGCCTTGGGCTGTGTGAACCAGGCCAGACTCTGTGGTGCAGTGAGGAGCTGCAGGAGATCTGGGGGCAGCAGGAGAGCTGCTTCCTGAGGCTCCCAAGCACACATCATCTCTCACTCGCTGAGCTGAGCGCTTCCACAGACCACAGAATCATGGAATATCCTGAGTTGGAAAGGACCCACAAAGATAATCAGGTCTCTGCACAGGACAGCCCCAGGAATCCCAGCCTGATCCTGAGAGCATTGTCCAAATGCTCCTTGGACAACCTTCTTGTCCAAGCATTTTGCTGTGGGACCAAGGAGGTGTCTTGGCCCAAGGATTTGGGAGTTTCCACCTTGGCCTCCAGATTCTACCTGATCTCAGCTCACAAAGCCCACATGAGGACATGATGCCTTTCCAGGGATGTGTCCAGCTTGGGAGATCCTTTGCCTCACCCTGACCCCAGCCTGGACCCCTCAGCAATGATGAGTTTAAAATCCTGGTGGCAGAATTGAGCATCCCTCCATCCCTGGATCGTGGGGCTGCTCTGAGTGCTGCACGCCCCTCACCCACGGAGGTTCTGCCTTCTTTTGGAGCACCAGAACTTTCCCAGGAGTTTGGATTTAACAGATGTCAGTGGATCAATCCCTGATTTCTGTCAGCTGCCAGCACTTGCAGTGTCCTGTGGCACTGAGTCCACACTTACATGTTGGTGGAAAAGCCATTTTTGCTCATTTCAAAGCTGTCACAGGCTGGAATTGGAACATGATGAGCTTCCAGTCCCTTCCAACCTGAACCATTCCATGATTCCATGACTGGGGTGGTACTGCTGGGTAGAGCACCTTTGGGACACCAGCTGCTCCTGGTGCTTTTTTTCTGTGAGTTTCCTTTTTTCTTTGAATCATGCCCACCAGTGTGTGCCCAACATTGGAGGTTTCTCCTTTTCCAGTTGTGTCTTTCCTTCTTTAGAGTGGCTTTAGACACCTTCTAACCAAGGCCTCCTAAGTTATCAAAGCCTGGAATAACTAGATTTAGCCAGCTTGGCTGGGAAGTTTCTATTCCTTTAAATTCTTGTGCCTTTCCCTAAGACCTTCAAGAGTATTTTTCCCCTAATACAGCACTGTAGCTTGACCCTGTGGAGCAGAGCTGATCAAAGGGAGATGGTGAAGGAAAGGCCTGTGGAGACAGGAGTCATCTGAGGACAAGGCAGGACTCAGGGAACTCCAGCAATGCTCTGATGTTGGCCTAGGATGGTGCTGGCAGGTGCACACAGCAGATCCTTCAGTACCTCCCTTAGGAGCTTGAGGCACAGCAGTGTCCCCAGGATGGGGACAGCCACACCCACAGGGTCTGCAGGAGCAGCTCCAGCTCTGGGAGACAGAAGGGAGGAAGCTGCAGGTGGAATCTCCTCAAATGCCGTGAGGGGGTGTGTGAAAAGCTGGGGCTGCCCCATCCCTGGAAGCGTCCAAGGCCAGGTTGGACAGGGCTTGGAGCAAGCTGGGATGGTGGGAAGTGTTCCTGCCCATGGTAGGGGGTAGAACTGGGATGATCTTTTAAGGTCTTGTCCAACCCAAGGCAGTCTGTGACTCTGAGTTTCTATGAAATGCCATTCCTGGATGTCTCGGGTCATACCTTGTGAAAAACCATTATGAAAATTACTTTCCTGCTTCCATTTCTTATCTTGTGGAGAAGTTTGCATTCAGCTGGCAGCAAGCAGCAGATCATCATTATCTCTGGTACTACAACCACCACAAAACCACTTTTCTATCTCTTTCTGGGGACAAAACCCAACTCTTACTCCTGCTAATACTAGAAAAAAAATTGCTTTAATCTTGGCTGATGTGAAGTCCTTAGAGCTGTGCTTTGAGGGTACCTGGAAAATTGCCCTGGAAACAGGAAAAAGTTGGTTCCAGAGATATTCCCAAGGGGCGGGAAGCCTTTTGTGCCCTGAAATACAGTCCCAGCCATGATGTTTGCCTGACCAGGTTGGAGAGGCTGTCCTGCCCTCAGGGACCACAGGAGCATCTCCTAGAGAAAAGGAGTCTGTGATGTCACTTCCAGTGATGGGGATCAGGTTGCCCGACTGGGATCAGGCATTGGCTGGGCCATACAGAAGGAAAGCAGAAAATGCTGGGGGAAAAAAGCAGTTTTACCCCAACCAGGATTGGCTTTAAGAGCCAGGACTGCTTGGGATTAGTGTTTGAGCCTTTCCAGTGCTGTGGCCAGGATGAAGGGTATATTGCCTTGCCATTGGATCAATGAGCTGTGCAGAGCTGTCTGGAATTTGGCAATCAAGGGGTGCCCACAATGAAAATGAAAGAAAGAAAAGAGCAGGAAGCTGTAAAATGAACCAAAGTAGTTGAGGAAAAAAAGCCAAAAACCAAACCAAAAAACCTCAAACAAACAAACAAAAAACAAACCCACCCATAGAGCCATTTTTATGAAATTGTGGTTTATTTTCTCCGTAACAAATGTGGACGGAGAAGAAACTAATTCAAAATACACCCTGCACAGAACAGCCCCAGGAATACCAGCCTGGATTCCTGGATTTCTTGAGGGAGTGCTACAGCCTCCAGAAATGCTGAAGTCTTGCAGAAGGCTGGCAGCAAAGTCAGCCTGCGAACAGCTCACCGTAGCCCAGAGGCACCAAGGACCCTCAACCCCACCGGGGCACACGGGCAGCAGGAAGGAGCAGGGACAGTCGCCAGCGGTGCTTTCAGTGTCATTTATCGTCAATTGTGCTTCCCAGGGCCAGGAGCAGCCGCCACCGAAGTCCCACAGGCTCTATCAGGACGAGCCAGTTACCCCTGCGGCCACTGAAGTGCTCCAGGAGGGCTCTGCTTGAACCAAGCGCACGCCCGGCCTGCCCGGGACAGGCCTCGGGGTCTCTGCGCTGGAGCGGGGGGAGAGAAGTGCGGCAGCTCCACAAGGGGCCGGGGGTGGAGAAATGCGGCCGGGGCCGCTCCCGTCCCCTCAGGCCCGTCCCGTCCCCTCGGGCCCGTGCGGTCCCCGCGGCCTCGGGCCCGGCTCGGCCGGGACTTCTTCCCGTCCCGTCTTCTCGCGAGAGAACGCGCTGTGGCGTCACGCGCCGCGGCGGCCGCCTCGCGCGCGCGCGCTCTCACGCCGCCGCCGTATCCTTCCGCGCGCTCCCCCTCCCCCTTCTGGAGAGTTCTGCACGGCGGCTCCGCACGACAAATAGTCCCCGCAGCTCCCCCCCCCCCCCCCCCCCCCCCCCCCCCCCCCCCCCCCCCCCCCCCCCCCCCCCCCCCCCCGCCCCCCCGTCGGGGGTCCCGCATCTCCCGGG